ATTCCCTTAGCCTCTGCGCCCAGACCAGCTCTACGGTCCACCCAGCCTCCTGTCCAGCGGGTACTCGAGGTCCTTTCCCGGGGGTAAAGCCGGCCGGGGCGTGATGCTGACCATTCACACAGCATGTATCGGAACAGCTTTACTTTACTTTTTTCACTTTTGGTGGTTACCCTCACCTAGTTCAGCCTATGAGTCGACCGATTTACAAAGGTGGAACTAACCCAACGTTAAGCGACCGACTGAGGTTAGGTTAGGTTTTGTCCTTACTCAGCTGCTCCATACACCCCAGAAATTGTTCTACCATTCGAATCAAAGTTTGCGGAGAGGCGTCCAGACACTGGAAACAATTTGAAGAACGGAAAATGTCGTCGGTAAGAGTTCGTCGTCTTTGTCGTACTTCGTCTACGATTCTGTCTTCCTTCCTTCCTTCTTTCTTTCGCGTTAACAGAGGGACCAGCTGAGGCATTGGATTGATCTTCTATCTTCACAACACAACAAGATTAGAAAGGTGCAATTATTACTCGGGGTACACCGACATTCCAAAAGTGTTCTTCATGCCACATCACATAGATAAATGTTGCACTGACGTCATCCAAAGTCCTCTTTGTCGCTCATTAACCCGTTATTGCATTAATGCTGATCCGAAGAAATTATTGTTCCAACAGTGACCTCGTTCGATGTTTGTACTCATTTATGAACAATGTTATGAACTGTGTGCGCTGTCGAATAGGAACAAGAATTTGTAAATTGTCAAGCAAATTAAGTGATTTGCCTTGTGGTCACGCCTTACCACCAGGAATGGTCAGAAACACAACTTGTATGAATGTACGAAACTGCGTTGAATATCGCCGTAAGGTAGTTCACACCAGAAAAGCACACGGCTCACTTACAGGGGAGCCATTTAAAGTTCATTGCTTTCGTCTCGTTAATTAGTATATTCAGCCTGTTTAGCGTTTCCTAATTAAGATCACGGTCTCCGAAACACAAAATGTGATCTGATCTTTGCTCAGCAATAAGTATGTGAGAAATTGTTGACCTCTAGACAGCGTCGCTAAATGGACCACAAATACCTAAACGGATTGTCATAAAATGAACACAGCCGCTGACTGTCCTTCCCGTACGACACACAGCCCAGAAAAGAAGTTCCGTAATCGTACGTTACATTTGGAAAAAGTCAGTATCTTATCTTCCGTAATTAGAATTCATAAAACACACGCTGGTTCATCATAGACAGTTTTATCTAACATCCGTTATGTCTTACTACAATTCGCATGCTTTCTTACGGAGCAAGGACACGTGTGTGGATAAATTCACAATGGTCGAAGTAAGTACACACACACACGAGGCTAATATTTCCTGTTGTAACGTGTTCGTATCTTTTAGAGTCACTCCATATTTACGGTCATGTTTAGTTTCGTAACCGCTTTAGTGAGGCGAAATTTTGTGGTGTGTCTTCATGTGTCCTTGACAAATTTGGATGTGGCGCGAGTGTGTAAGGTTGCAGAATACCGGGTTGTATTGATGGAACTGAAGTTGCTGTTCACGGGACGGGCCCTCTGAAGCATTGGAACTGACATTTTGCTCCACAAGAGGAGGGAATCTTTCGACCATCCGAGATACTATCAGCGTCTCGGGAGCCAATTTTCTCCGTCGAGTTCGTTACCTATCTATACAATACGGAAAGGAAAGGAAATGTAATCGTGCATCCTTCATTAACACTTTGTCCTTCCCACGGAATCATAAAGCAGAGTTACGTTGTTATTTCAGCATCACATGTAATCGTTTTATCGCGTGTTGTATCTCCGTGATTGAAAGACGTTCCACAGACGTTGCTACAGCGGTGTGACATTTCAGTAACTGATACTGCACTTCATGTCGCATTTAGATGTCAGTGCTGTTATTGACATTGGTGACATCATGAATAAAATAAGGCCACATTTCATTTAATGTTAAATGAAGTATGGGAATTATTTCCTACAGGTTTGTAACAATCAGTAATTTGGTTAGCACCAGTTGTAACTACTCCACTGTAGTTAATGTAACTCCAAGGTACAAATTCGAATTTTAGAAGCGGACAGTCGCTTTCTGTGTGAAGAAATTCCCGGCCTGTTACAGAATCGGGAGGTTCATTACTGCCATCACAAGAGCCCACGACTTAGCCGACACTTAAGCCAACTAAGTCCAATCTGTTCTTCCACAATTTCATAAGAAATATTTTAATATTATTCTTTTATTAAATGGTCTCTTTCCTCCAGGTCTCCAGCCAAAGATCTATTGCGTTTGTATAGAAACAATGTCAGTACGTCTGTTCTGAAAATATATTTTGTTCTTTATGAAATCCGTCAGTGCAAAACGAGCATCCTGAAAAAGGCAACCTCTCGGCTGTAGTTTTATTGTCAGTCAAGAATTGGGCCCAAATCATTGAAATCTGTCTGGACACCCCGCGGCTATTTTGGACCCACATTGTTTATGTAAGACAGGCATGTGTGTTTCACACAGGATGGACACTGCGGCCATGCGGTCCTGACTGACTGACTGACTGACTGACAGGCTTTCGCAGTTCGGAAGTGATGCCGTCCTCAGCGTGCCAGTCGCCCCCTTTTGCATCCTCCGGATTCTCATCTCATTTGACGACGAATTGCGTCTTCAGTCGAGCGCCTAATCAGCGCACCACGAACCAGCAACGCAGATAAAAAACTTTGTTTCTTTGCTGCTTATGCTCAGCAGTGGAAGATTAATCAACGCAATCAAATTCGCGTTACGTAAGACATCGTCCGCATTGCCACATTCTGTTAAGTTATATTTTTCCTGGATTTCTCCGGATCAAGATAGTGAACGAGTTTCCTGTTCAATGTACAATGACCTCGGGCGAAGTGGTAACAATTGCCGAAATTTCGGAAGCGTTTTCTGCCCTCGTTCCATCTTTGATCCTGGACCAAAGGCAGCGAGTTCTTGCGAAAGGGGCGTCATTTTTGAAATTCAAACATGGCGGCGTATCCTGAAACCTCTACAGTTTGTCGAAAAAACCTCAACTGTAAAATTATTCACTTTGTTAAAACTTTACCACATCGTGAACTAGGCAATAAATATAAAGCAGAAGTAATGCGTGGCCTCTGACGGATCGACGAGCTATTTGCGTTGGACCAGGAACCGAACTCGACCTGAAGACGCAAGAAATGTGTAGAGGAGAATCGTGGTGGAAAACGATCTTAGGAAGCGATTGCTGGACCTTGATGATCTTAATTAATTGGACCGAGCAGTGAGTGAAGCAGCTATTCTGTTAGTACA